AATGCACTTGCTATCAGCATGTCCAGCATATGCGGTCTCAGCCTATATCCATCGACATAACGCGGCCCTAAGAGTGCTATATTACCATCTACGGCACTCTTATGGTATAGACAAACAACGGTGTTGCCCTACGCTCCGGATGATATTGAATGCGTTTTGGGGAACGATAAGTGCCGAATTAATTGGAACTATTCTTTCCTCATCCTCAGGCTCATACAAGCTAATAAGCCTGGTGTGGTCCTTATCGACCACCAGAGCATAACATATTTGTCTTGGGAGTTTTCAGCTCCTGGCGAAACGAATATCGTCCGAAAAGAGAAGGAAAAACGGATAAAATATCGAGATTTTCTCTTCGAACTCCGTTCTGGTTGTTCTGATTATTGGAATCCTTGGAGGAATGATACCCTCTCTACTCTCGAATCTTAAAATCATACCGGCCAGCCGCACTGAGGCAGAAATCTTAGCCGGACAGGTGCAGAAGGCTGTCATTCTTGGCTCACTGCGCTTGCTCAGGGCACATGATTCTTGGACCCAATATGATCACTTACCCCACGGTGTGGGGTAAGTGATAACAAATTATTTCGTGAAGATCAATACGGATTCAGAGTGGGTAGATCAACAACAGATGCAATTCGAAAAACTGTGAGTATGGTTATCGAGGGTCTTGAGAGAGGTGAACATGTGATATTAACCGTGTGTGATCTCTCTAAAGCATTCGACTGCGTTTTGCACGATTTTCTGTTCAAAAAGTTGGGAGTTTTATGGAGTGAGGGGGCTACCACTCAGTTTATTTCAGTCGTACTGAATGGGTATATTACCACTACCATCGGTATTCATATATAGTCAATTACTTGAAATCCATAAAAATAAATCAATTCATTCGCAGCATCAGGATATTCATCATCATGCTACAAAAAATGTAGATCTGTTCATACAGCCTCGATACAAACTCAAAAGGTCTATTAAAAATTCATTGAATATCTATCACTATAATCATCTTCCTAATTCGTTCAAAGTGCTCAAAGCTCCTTCAAAAACAGAGTCAGAACTATTCTCCTGGAAAACTGTTTTTATAGTACTCAGGATTATTTAAGTACTGCAATTATGCCGATTTAGATTTCATTTTATTTCATCTGATATGTGAAGCTCATGTTTATACATAATATTTGTTATTTGACACTTTCAAATATTTTAGACTGGTTATTGTAATGTTCAAAATTATCTTTCATTTTATTCACAATTTATTATTCAATATTTTTAACTTGTGACTAGTTTTTTTATGTATATTTTTAACTGACTTGCAACAAACATTCAAGTGTAAAGTTGTCAAATAAATATATCTATCTATCTATATAATAGAAACAGCAAAGGGCCGAGGACAGATCCCTGGGGTACTCCACATTTAATGCTCATTTGAAGATAAACTTTTAAAATTCACTACTTGAACGCGATCTGATAGATATGACTCAAACCACAACAAGATGTTCCCTCTAAGTCCGTAGATTTCAAGTTTTTGAAGCAATATTTTGTGATCAACACAGTCGAATGCTTTTGTCAGATCACAAAATACTGCCACTGCAGCCTCACCAACATTCAGTCGAAGGTAAAGTTCTAAAAAAGCAAACATGGCATCATTTGTGTTCTTAGAGGGCTGAAAACCATATTGATTGGAGTGAAGAATATGATTTTTGTCAAGAAAATTTAAGATTCTCTTTTTCATTAACGTTTCCACGATTTTAGATAGAGTTGGCAGTAAAGAAATAGGACTGAAGTTCGCGGGTATATTAGAATCGCCTCCTTTAAATAATGGGATAGCTTCAGCAATTTTTAGGCAATCTGGAAAAATACCATTTATGAGAGATTTATTTATAGCTTCCGCTAAGATATCTAATAGTGTTTGGCAGTCTAAGGAAAATTTTAAGTGAGAGATTATCCCATCATGAAGAGTTTTTATGCTATAGAGGATTTCTTTTATTTCATTGCCAGAGGTTGGAGAATAGTTGAATGCGTTCGATATGGCTATATCCCTAAGGTAACTCATTGGGTTCTCATTGGTCGATATTTTTTTCCTATTTTTTGAGCAATGGGACAGTAGTAAGTGTTTCATTGATTTGAACTCAGTTCACTGTCAACAAAAGATTTTTTGCTTTTTCCTCTTAATTCGTTAACAATTTTTGCATGTTTCCTGATGTTTATTATTTGCATTTGATATTCGATTGCTGTAATAAGTTGTTTTCGCATTTTTTATGATTTTTCTATAAATGTTTCGATAGTTATTATAGAAGATGATGAAAAGAACATGATCTCTGAAATATTTGCAAATATAGTGGAGACACCTCATATTTTTAGCAAAAACCTTTATGCCCTTAGTCATCCAAGCCTTCTTTGTTTTTCGTTTAATGTTTTGAAGTGGAAAATCTTCATTAAAAATGGTAAGTAGTTTTTTGTGAAAGTCACGTAGAGGATCCTCTGTTGTCACTATATGTCTCCAATGAGAATTATTACACAACTAGCTTTTACCCGCGGTTTCGCTCGAATTAATGCCATTAAATAAGTGTCAGTACAATAGAAATGAATCAATATGAGAACTACAAGACGTTAAAGTACCTAGATTTTGAGATCTTCATGACAAACAATTTTTTTATCTTACATAAAAAAAATTAATAAAAAGTATCCTATGTTACTTCTAATACCTCCAAGAACGTGTGTACAAAATTTCATGATAATTGAATAGAACTGGCTGATACTTGATGAAAATCCATATTAAAAAAATTTATAGTGAAAATCATACGATAAACTGTATTTATTAGTTTTTTCAAATTTCATGATGATCGGTTGAGTAGTTTTCGTGTGAAACCGTAACAAACAAACTTACATTCGCATTTATAATATCAAGCAGGGAATATACAGAGGTGCGCAAAAGTCCGGAATAAAATTAATATCTTTTTAACCAATATTTCAGGGAAAAAACGCTGAAACACGTCAGTTGATTTCACGTTGTACGCATTTTTTGGCAATAAAATGAAAATTTTTTCTCAACCCCTTAGCTGCAACCCTTCCTAACTTTTTTTTTTTTCAAATGCAAACCTATGTCGTGTATGGGCTCATTGAAAATCTCGTAAAAAATTGATTCTGACCATACCCTTTATTTTTTTTGTGGTTACAACGAAATGAGAAAAAACTCTTTTGAAAAGTGCTTAGTGCTTTCTACGGGTGAATTAACGTAACAGATGCTGAAATTGGCCTCCACCCTCTACTTGGCAGGCTCCTAGGCGATGGTAAAACCCGTCTACGGAATTCCGAATGGCCTCAGCCGGTATGTTATGTGATTCCACTCTAATTCTGCTTTTTAGATCTTCAATATTAGCCAGCCTATTTTGATAAACATTGTCTTTCATATATCCACAATAAAAATAATCTAATGGCGTTAAGTCTGGGGATCTTGGCGGCCATTCAATTGTACCACGTCGTCCAATCCATCGTCCTGCAAATATGTCATCAAGATATTATCTGACATTAATACCAAAATGTGGGGAAGCGCCGTCCTGTTGGACCAAAGTGTTTCAGTGGGGATATCTGGATCTGCTTCATTGGGAAACATAACAGCTAAAGCAAGGACTAATTCAAAGCGTGAAAAGACTAAGTAGCGTGCAGCTGTAAGGTTTCCCTCAAAAAAGTATGGCCCTAATATTCTGAGGACTGAGGACTGCGTACGAGCTTCGCATGTCCAGTGTGGGTTTTCTTGACTACAGAATCGATAGTTGTGCCTGTTAACTACTCCATGTAAATAAAAAGTAGCTTCGTCTGAAAAGAGTATGTTTTGTGGAAACCCATTATTCTCGTCACATCGCTTCATATTTCCTCACAAAATTGCAAACGCCTGTCATAGTCATCTTCCAAGAGCTCTTATACAAGACATACCTTATATGGGTGGTATTTTTCTGTTTTCAAAAACCTCCCAATCGTACGTCTAGAGGCAGGATTGTTTTGGGCTAATGAAACCGCTGACAAATGTGGATCTTCCTGCAGAGATACGGCAATGTCCAATTTTTGATCTTCGTCTAAAACATGTGGCCAGCCACTTCCGGGCAAGTCCTTCACTGTACCATGTTCTTCAAATTTGTATAAGATCTTACTCACAGTAGCCTGGGAAATGTGATTTTCCGGATATTTTGCATTAAATAAAGTACACACCTCACTTTGACTCCACATTCTATCCCCACATCCCAACAATATCAAGACTTCGAACCGCTGCCTCTCTGACAATACCATTTCTGTTTAGCAAATTAAAAAAGAACACTTTGAAGGTACCCAATTAATACACTAAACATACATACAATTTCAATTTCACCCAGAAATGCCACAATTTTAAAAATGAGTCAAGTCATAAAACAATAAAATTTGTTGTGGTGCCTGGCCCGGTTGGTCTGTTCTTAAAATTTGTAAACATTTAGAAAGTAGGTACTGGTGATCCTTAGCAATTGTTGAGCATCACCACTTATTTGTTTTTTGCAACGTTAATTCACCCGTAGATAGCACTAAGTAGGTATTTCTAATTTTTTTGGTTTTAAAAGAGTTTTTCCTCATTTCGTGGTAACTGCATGAGTAAAAAAAATGAAGGGTATGGTCAGATTCCATTTTTTACGAGCTTTTCAATGAGCCCATACACGACATAGGTTTGCAACTGAAACAAAAAAGTTGGGGAGGGTTGCAGCTAAGGGGTTGAAAAAAAATTTTCATTTTATTGCCAAAAAATGCGTACAACGTGAAATCAACTGAAGGGTTTCAGTGTTTTTTTTTCCTAAAATACTGGTTAAAAAGATATTAATTTTATTCCGGACTTTTGCGCACCCCTGTATAAGTAGGGAAGTAGGTATTCTGTAAATTTTTCAAAATTCGTTTTGCTGTAAACCCTACCTCGTTTGTATTGTACTGAAAATTTGTCAATGTTATCAAAAGAACACTTACACAAAATTGGTACATACGATAAATTCACTTACCATTTTTCTCTCTCTGAGCCAAAGTATGCCAAACTTGTTCTTCATCAGAAAAATGTTGTAGCAGCCAATTTATTATCTTGTTCTGAACAGATTTAGTGAAATTGTAAGGTTCCAACAACTTCAAAACCTTCAAAAGGAATTGGTAGTCATTAACGTTTTTGAATATAGATTCCACATAAGTTTCAATCTTTTTGGAACACAACTCATCTTTATTTTGAACTTGTGAACCATCAGACCAGTCGTCTTTTTCTCTATTCATAAGCTCCAGCTGAATAGCTTCGGAATAAAGGACTTCCGATGTCTGATGAATTGTTAGACCTTTATGAATAACATTGAGGGCTTGGCCAATGTCTCTTTGGACATGCCATGATGCAGCTACCTGCCAGACTTCTGGAATGTATGCAAAGTTCTTGAAAACAATAATTATTAATTAATAGATTTCTGTAAAATACATGTTTGAAAAAACAAACTAAAACAATATTCACTATTATCATAAAATGTGAGCAATATAAAATTGAATGAAACCAGATTCCAGTGGAAGGTAAAAAATTACTTCCTATACAAATATGCCATGTACGAGACCAATAGAAAATTAAATCCGGCTCATTCCTGATGAATGAGGGTTCTTGACAGCAGTTTTGAATTTCAAATTAGAAGATGAATTTGCATAGGATTTCTTGGGAGAAAAATTAAATGATGTTAAAAGGATTGTTTGAATTATTGGGAGATCAATCAATCAAACTTTATATGATATTTCGAGCTTAAAGCTGTTGGATACATTACTTGAAACTAATGAAATTAAATACAATAAACAATACAATAAAAAAGTACACAATACATGAGACAAATATTAATGAAAAACTAAAATGAACTCATTGACGTAGGGGTAGAGGTCAAGTAGAAGACCTTTAAATTGTTTTTGAATGTATGATCTTCATCTATATTTTTCAAATTATCAGGAAGACTGTAATATAATCGGAATCCCAAATTCGAACACATTCAAGTGTTTGGCATATGAAGGTCATGTTTTATATGAGTATTATAATTATGAACCGAATAATTTTCAATAATGTTGTTATTATTTTTATGAATACCTATAAACTATCATTTTATACAGTGCAATTCATTCAATGCTTGTCATTCAAAAAATTGAAATTTGGGATAATGAAATTAATGCATGAATACTTTATTTTGAAGTAAAGTACAGATGAAACTCTCAAGATGGCGACTGGGCGCTATCTGGGGAAAATATTAAGTGGAAAGGGGGGGTCTTGTGACACATCATTTTGAAGCTATTGATGAATACTTCAGAACCCTAGAATATGGAGTCTATATCTTCACCTACTACAAAATGGCGGAACATTTAATATAATTAGAATAGCGTTTATTTGCAGATATACATATATTACAGGTTATAATAATTGGATACATGTAGCAAATAAGCACAAGGATGTTCCACTGAAGTTGACACTTGTTAGTGGTTCACATAGTAAATCAAGAAATGAAATGAATACACTAATAGCTTAGTTCTAAGAAATATATGATATAAATATTCTAGACACACTGTTAAAATTTACTAATATAGTTTACAAATGAAAATGTATTATCTATACAGACACATTCACATTTGTTCACAAACATAGATATACATATACACTAAAACATGGAATCTCACACTATCCGTATTATCAATCAAGACATTTTTATTTTTTCATCAAAACTATTGGTTCTATTCTCAGTAATAGAATTGCCTGAATACATTGACATTTAACTACATAATATGAGGTAATAAGCTCGAGGTCAGTTCAGAAGATGTTCGAAATGGTTGCCTTGAACTTCTTGACATATGAACAGCCTATCCGATATTTCACAGCGAACATGTTCGAACACAGTAAAGTCAATATCTCTACAAATATTTATTATTCTTTGCCGTATATCCAATATTGAAGCAGGTTCAGTTTCGTACACCTTTTGATTCAAATATCCCCATAAAAAAGTCCAAAGGTGTCAAATCTGGCGAGCGGGCTGACCATTCTGTAGAACCTCGACGGCCAATCCAACGACCAGGAAAAGTAGTATCCAAATAGTTTTTTACTTGTCTGGAGTAATGTGGTGGTGCTCCATCTTGGTGGAATACAATATCCATATCGAATTCATTAGGATTCACTTTGACGATTTCAGTGATGAGAGGCAGTATTCCTGCCCAAACGTTAATTTTTTCTGGATATTGGGTATGTGTTTCCCGGGAAACGTTAGGGTTGGTGTCACTCCAATAACGGCAATTTTGTCTGTGAACATTGCCGATTGAAAAAATGTACATTCGTCACTGAAACGAATATTGTGGAGATAGGTAGGATGCCTTGCAATGGTTTCCGCCATGAGTTCGCAGAATTCTGTTCTTGGATCAGGGTTATCTTCAGTTAATTGGTGTACCATTTTAATTTTGTATGGATGCCAACTATTCCTCTTCAGAAGTCTCCCCACAGTAGAAGGAGACCCCTCACAAACATTTGCGAAGGAATAAGTAGAGTGTTCAGGATTTATTACCATCTCACCAATTATTTGGACTTGCTATTCTTCCCTAATGGACGGATGACCTGCAGGCTTTTTGTTATGTACACTACTGGTAGTTGTGAATTTGGATACAAGTTCCCTCAAATTTTTTCTACAGATAGCACGATTCGGAAAATGTTCATTGAAAACCATTTCAGTCTCGTGAAAGTTACCATACATAAAAATTGCTTCAATTTTTTCTTCCAATGCACGAGATTTGACCATTTTAGAGTTTGTTGGTGTAGTATCTTTCTACTAGTAAAACCAAAAACTAAATGGGAATATTCTAACTGAACAATGGTGTTCATTGTCGTACTGAATTTTTTACGTTTTTATAAACAAAAAATAAATTAACAAACCTTATCGGGTTGTTCGAATTGCCATATACCAGATAAAAAAGAAT